AAAAAAAAAATGACCCAGTACGGATGGAAAGAGTGCTATACTGTGGCAATGACGATGAAACGGCGGATATAGTCTGCGACAGGGCTAAACGGGCAGTAGATTCTGCATTTTTCTTTCGGAATTCCAGTAGCTTGAAAAATATAAATATGATAAAAAGCAAAAAATTAGAATTCGTAGCGTTTAATTTACAAAGCAATAAAAAACTTCATCAGTGTCTTACGTGAAAACTCTTCAAATTTGTACAATTTTTATACAGCCTGGAGTAACAGCTAACCAGGCAATCCCAATTTGTAATTCTACTGTAGTAGGCTTCTATTTTATAATAACTTTCGAGCAGTACCAAAAACCAAATACAGGTAATAGTGAATAAACAAATAACTGTTGGCGCCATTAAAAGATGTGTTTTTAATGACAAAGGTTCCATTATCAAATTTTCAAAATCTACAGCTCAGAAACAAATACATTACCTTCTCGTTAAGTGAGGCTAACACATCACGATTTTTTCGCTGTTCTTTCGTGTTGGCGTCAATTCGGTTTCTGCATGCTACGAGGTCGCTAGGCATGCGGAGTACTTCCTCGTGCTTAACCTCTAAAAAAAAAGGAAGTACTTTCTAGGCAAAAAGAAGGCGAGAAAAATTGTACCGTTAACATTTTGCAAAATTTTTAATTTCAAAAAACAGTAACAGAATATGTGGAGTTTTCAAATTATACCTGTAGTAGCAGGAGATGGCGTATCATCATGCACTAATTCCTCAGATGACATTGACAATAAATCATTCCTGAAACATCACTTAACTTTACTACTTGACCTAAACAGCAATTTTAACTTATAATGGGTAATACCATTCCTTTCCTATACAAAAATTCATTGCATAAGATAATTTCTAAATTGGAAAATCTTAGGAGTTTTGAAAAACAAATGATCATTTGGAGAACAATCATTGACAAGGAATCGTTGTGAACCCACCATTCATATTTGTGATTCTCATAATCATTATACATTTTGAGGTAACATTTCTGTTCTTTATGAATGCATTTGTTACGCTGAGCAGTGAAATAATGAGTAACAGTTACAGTAAAAAATTCCAAGAAATAGAAAATACACACAGACAGGGCTATAGAACAGAACTGGACTGGTGTTGGGAGCAGAATTAACGAAACAACAGAAAAGAAGACTATTTTATGCATACAAGTTTTTTTTTTTACCCAAAATTTTTTCTGACAGGAATAAAAAGCACTCTGACTGAATTAAAATGCAGGACCTAGGTCTGTAGGATGAAGTTTAACATTTCAAAAGCATCAATTCGGATAGGCCTCTGTTTCAAGAGTCCAGAATGCAAAAAACGAGATGAATAGCGTTTAGGGGGAGGACAAAGACGAGGCTGTGAAAGATGACGATGAAGGAATAGCAAGATGAGCTGATCAAACCCAAAAATGCTCTTTTCGCGGCAATGGCATATAGTACTAAAGGAATTTTTATTGCAAATGCTGCTGCTGCCGTTGCAAACGTTTGCATTTGGAGAAATGCTGTTGTTGTTTGATGGTAAGTAGAGACCGCAAAAAATCCACTAACAA